TGGTGGGATCTTGAGGCTCAGAAAAAAAAAGTTAATGGAGCTTTGAAATATCTGGAAGTTATTCCGAGACTCCTGGTAGGGACCTCGGATCAGGAAAGGGACAGTGGCGCTGGTGTGAGGGAACCCAAGCGTTTATCTGCTCAAGACGTCCTTGGTGTCATGGCGGCTGTGTCACAGGACGTGAGCCTTCCTGCCACGGTAATGGCCCATTACAGCTTCGGGAAAAGCCATCATATTTCCGCAGCATTTATCTGTCAGCAGGAGACTATTATGGGAGCACAAACTCACATTGTATTAGCGTTATCAGCTAATTATGGTCCATGGGACAGGTGCCAGCCAATGGGCTGGCTGGCTGCTGACCACCACTCAGGGATATAACTCCACACCCCAGATCCAAGCACGGCAAAAGACAGTGGGTCGGCAGCGGTGTGTAGCCTGGCGCCCAGGGAGCAGTGGCCCTGGGATGTGCAGTTTAGGCTCCCTGTCGGGGCCGGGCCCACCGTAGTCTTCGTGGACTGTCAATGGATGCACTTCCTGGATGCGCCTACCGTGGCCCTCAGCCTGGGGTGGAACAGAAAGGAGCTGGGCTTGCGACTCAGACAATCACACTGCTGCAACCTCTCCTCCCGGGGCTGGTGGTAAGAAGGGGGTACATGGTGGGGGTCCCCAAGGCAACAGCCTCACCTGGAAACAGCTTCAGAGGATGTGGGTACAGGTGAGCCACAGGGTGATGCAACCGTAATGACCCCATCCACTGGAGCCAGGGAGCCTCCAAAAATGCCTGTTGGGTCTTCCCTTTTGGTGAGAAAGCCATCGAGTCCTCTGTTCTCTGAGGGCCCAGCTGGGCCCACCAGTTCCCGCAAAGTCGCCCCATTTGAAAGATGACAAACACCTCTTTTCATGGTTGGTCCCAGGGCAGCACTTGGACAGGAGGGAACTTCAGAGTCTGAGAAACGTTGCTCACTGCTGCTTTACTTATTAATCAAAGATGACTGCTGTCCAGGGGGATGGCCACCAGGGAGGGAGGGTACAACTAAGACCGCGCTCCGTGAAGGCAGAGCTTCTCACCAGACCTCCGGCACAGGGAGCCCCGCTGGGATCGGCTGTGCACATCCTGGGGACAGCAATAGAGACCCAGGTGCAGGCCCCCAGGGAGCTCCCTGTGCAGGCAGTAAGAAATAGCAGGTGCTCCGTGTAGACCTGTGCGTGCTGCCGCATCGGCACATTCCAGTGCTTTCGGTGCCTAGGGAAACAGCGACTCGGGCAACAGAGTGGTTTGGGTGTGTGAATGTTCTGCCACCTGGAACACTGCTCCTGGCAGGACAGCAGGCCGTGCGATTGGTGCCCACTCACCAGAGCTTCCTTCCTTCCACCCAGGAGACGCTGTGTGTATCACTGGGTGCAGGTGTGTAGAGGGAGCTGCCCCAGCACTTGCTTGTTTGGCTCCCTCTTCCTTAGGAAAGAGCTTGACCTTGGGGAAGGAGGGTGGGGGGCATTGAAGAGACTGGCCTGCTTCAGATTGAGGGCTGGAATAAGTAGAGATCTAGAGGCCACAGACGGTGCGCCTGGCCAGTTCTTCACTGCGTGACCTTGCGTAGGTCACTTCCCTCTTAGGGAAATTTCCAGCTTTTCTCGTTTGTCAACTCCGATGACAGCTCTGAGTCAAGGTGCTCCTGGACTTACGATGGGGTTGCAGCCGGATCACCCCATCGTAGGTTGAAAATGGTGCAAGCTGAAAACGCACTTCATTTGCCATCCCTGCTGAACACCCTGGCTTAACAACATGACACAGAGTGTCGCTGGTTTCCCCTTGTGATCATGTGACCAGTTGGGTGCTGTGGGTGCTGCCAGCAGCAAAAGGGACTACCATGCTGCACGTGGCTGGCTGGGAAAAGATCCAGACCTTGTTTTTTCCTGAGTGCACCTCGTTCTTTTGCCACTGTAAAGCCCCCAAATCTTAAGTCAAACCATTGTTAAGTCAGAGACCACCTGTAATTCCTTGAGTCCCTCTTAGCTGTAAGGTTCTGAGAAGGTGTAAATATCTATTTAAGTGAATTTGCCACAAAAACAAATTGAGCTGCCGTCACCCTACAGCTTCCACAACTGCCATGTCTAATACCCTGTCCCACTCCCCTTGGGCTGACTTGACTGGGGTGCCAGTGATGGAGCAGAAAGCAGTGAGGAGGTGACTTTGAGCCTTTGCTAGAGACGGTGTACAGATAACACCTGCTCCCGGTGAGTGGAAACTGTGCACTCGTGATGGGCTGAATGCATTCCAAGCCTGGAGAAACCCAAGAGCTCTGCACACCCCACTCTGCCTGTGTTTTCTAGAGAAGCGATGGCTTTGGCAAGGTCACACAGAGGAGTTGGGACCAGAGACCTGGGTCCTCTGCACCATCCCACAGTGCCACCCCTTTATGCCCGAGGCAGGGACCCCGACCCTGGCTGTGAGAAGGAAGCTTTGCCTCTGTGAGCTGGCCAAGGACAGCACAGGAGAAAGGCTGGTCCCATGCAAGGAGTGGGCCCTGGCCAGGTTTGCCTGGAGAGTCACGGGAGAAGCCCGCGCCTGCCACGCTGGATCATGTCACCAGGGTGTCCCCACCACCTGGCCTCTACCTCTCCTGTGGCAGATGTGAGGCTGACACTTCCCAGAGAGGAAGATGAGAAAGAAGCTGGCCACCAGCCAGCTGAGTGTGAGGAGGCTGGACCGGCACAGGCTGTGGTCTGGGCCTCAGACTTCGCTGCCCTGGAGGACCACCGCTGCCTGGGGGAAGTCCTGAGTCCCCTCACCCCTGCCCTTGGAGGTGGAGAATAATTGCATGCAAGCATTGACCCAGCTCTTTCACCAATGCAAGCTCTCATTTGGTCCCAGGGGCTCTGAATCCACTGCTCTGGCCGCGAACTTGTCTTTTGGTTTCTGCTATGGAGGGGCTTTTATATCTACCATGTGTTTAAAATGATGCACTTGCACAAAACAAGGAGCTACCTGACTCTTCATGACCTGTCAGGGCCACACTCCCTTCCCAGACAGCTGCCTGCGCCTCTGCAGGCTGTGACATCCTCCCTCTCCCCCAACAAGAAGAACTACTACACTTCAACAACTCATTCAGCAAATCTTATCAAGCGGCTGTCTTGTACCATGCACTGGCAGGTGCTGGCATTCTCAGACGAAGCATTATGGCCCTGCCTCTATGGAGCTTACAGTGCAGGGGGTCAGGGTAAGAGGAAGCACCACTCACACCCACGCACCTATCATTGCCAACCGGGGTAGCAAAGTGAATACTAGAAAGTTCTGGTGCAGTCTGGATGGTGGACCTTCTAGGTGAGAGGTGCAAAGACTGGGGCCTGAAGGGAGTGTGGCGTGAGATGCAGAGGGACCCAGGGAACCCTGTCACGGGAGCCCTGCCTGGCGGGAAGGACGGGATCTCATTCCTCATCACAGCGTGGGAGACGTTGGCTGTGCGTTTTATAAAGCGCCCGCCGGCTGCTGTGTGCTTGTAGCCCAGTTCTCAGGAGAGCAGAAAGCAGAAGTCTTGGCAAAAGGTAGGGCTCATGTAAAAGCCAGGCTCAGGCTCGGGAAGGCGTCTCTGTGTTCCTCTTGCTGTGTCTGGTGGAACCCAGTACCTATGTAGTTAGAAACATGCAACCAAACTCAAACATCCGGGGACATGGTGGGGTGGGGGTATGCTGACAGACAGCCCCCGTCTTCATCCCTCTCAGGGCCTCTGCGGGGAGAATCCCACACGTCCCCCCACTCCAGCGCAGGTGAGAAAGCTCAGCCTCTCTGCTCCCCAGCCTGCACAAGCATACATCTATCCAAGCCAAACAGCATCCACGATCGGCTGCCCAGTGCCCAGCCCCTCCTGGCACGGTGGGCCCCTCTTGGGGCCGTGTGCAACCTTCCCTGCTTTTATCCCCGAAGTGCGTGAGCATTGCCTGCAGGTTACACTCCACTTACACGTTATTTTGCTGATAAATCGTGGCTTCCCCCTACTGTCATTGTCTTCTGCAGAACAAGACGGTGGTCTTTCGTTCCTCAGGGGTTGTCTTCTCTCCTTTTAAATAATTCTAAACCTACCTCCCCAACATACACTCATTTGAATCGCCAAATTGATTATTATCCCCGTGGCTGGCGCATTTCAAAAGATGAAAAGCCCCAGACGGAGGCTGAGGCTTGACTTACAACTTGTGGCTTTGCTGCTGCTCATCAGCTCATCACGGTCCAGGTCGTGGAGGGAGCAGCACAGGGGGGCTCAGGTGTGTGTCAGAGAGTGGATGTGGCAGGGAAGCTGGGTGTTTTAGCCACAGTTGCATTCTCCTAAGCAGTTGAGGATTTATTAGCTTGTGTCTGTGACCTGGGTGCATCCACGAGGCGGGCCTGCGAACATGAGGATACACCCGGAGAGCACGTGGCAAAGGCCCAGCGAGCATCTAACGGTGCAGAAGGGACTGGCCCAGGTGTCAGGAGCTGGGAAGGGGAGCTCTGTCCTTGCTGCTGTCTCCCTGGGCCTCTCCTGCAGGCCTGGCTTGTTTGCACTCACCACAGGGCTTGCAGCCGTGACTATCTGAGGCCAGGGTCTCCTCTCCTTGGCGCCAGGGTGGAGAAGTGCAGCTCATTTTTAATTTGGAAAACAAACCCATTCCAAAGGTTGGATGAGAGGTGAATTTGCCAGATCTGCTTTTGTAAAGAAGCACTTTGTTGGAGGGCAGGAGATGGGGTGGGGTGGGGGGTGGTCTGGGAGCAGCAGATCTCCCCTGGCCCCCAGTGCCACCTTGGACATCTCTCTCTCTCTCTCTCTCTCTCTGAGAGCAGGAGGACAGAGCAGGCCTTGTGACTCTAAAGCCCGGTGCCTACTCCTCGCACGCTGGAGACTTGTATTCCATTGAAGTCGCTCGGGCTCGCCCCCCTCCCCCCACCCCAGCTCGATTCTGTCACTTTAAGTCCAGCCCCTGAGAGATAGCCAATAGGAGCCAAACCATACATCAGTCTCCCAGCCTTAAAGCTACAGTAGGGTTCGTGGGCTCCAAGTCCCGGGCGCCCCGGTCTCGTCCCCGGCTTCTCATCCCCTCTGCCCGCTGGCTCGGCGCGCGCGGATGGTGGGAGCGCGGGGCCGTGCGCGCACTGCTCTCCGCCCGCCTCTCCTCCGCGCGGCCGCCGGCTCCGGCTCCCCGGGCCCCTGCCTGGACTCGCACCTCGCCGGTGCCCTTCACTCGCTCTTCCGCGTGATTTCCCCGCCGCCTTTCTCCACCGACTGGGAATGCTAGAACGGGACTGATGGACGTGTCGGAGCTCTGCATCCCGGACCCCCTCGGCTACCACAACCAGTAGGTGCCCCGCTCCTCGGGCTGTCGGTCCGTCCGTCCCTGTCCCGGGTGTCGCAGTTCCTCTCCCACACGTTCCTGAAGTGCCAGGAACCTCGGGGGACACTTGCGGGTCGTAGCGGAGGGGAGAGCCGCACACTTCCTCAGTTTCCTTCTCTGGCTTAAACCCGACGCCAACTTTCCCAGGACCCCGCCTCGCCCAACCCTCACTGGAAGGCTAGAGTAGCGCGTTCTTCCTCCCTCTGCACTCTGGGATCAGTGAGAAAATATTTGAGTGTCCGGGGAAAGGAGCGGGAGAGGTGGAAGCGGGTACAGGTACAGGCATGTGGCCGCAAGGATGCCCCGTCCGGTCCAAGAAAGCCTCTTCGCGGGCGCTGCGGGTTTGTCTTCTCCATCTCGGGGTGCAAGAAGCACCCCGGCGACCGACGAGACCTTGAACGCGCTCGGTGGCTCGGAACCTGCCGGCGGCCGGCGCTCACTCGGCGGTCCCGGGGGAGGCACCCCGAGGGTACGCGAGCAGCGCCAAGGGCCCCGGGGTGCGGGCGGCCGGGCCCTGGGCGCGCTGGGTTGCGCACGCTCTGCGCCGGGAGCCCCGCAGCCTGCCAGGGATGAGAGCGCCCGGCTGGGCGCTGCGTCGGAGGCAAAGTTAGTTCGGGATTTGGAGGGAGCTGCACGGGCTGACACCGCCGGGCACCCTGGGGCTTTGCTGCGGTTGCGCCAGAAGCCGTGGGTGTGAGAGCGGCGTGGACGCGGGCGGACGCGACTCCCGGGGACCGCGGCTCCCCAGCCCCGGGGCTGCGCACAGAAGGGCGAAGCGGAGCTCGGCCCCACGCGCCCTGCCTCGGCTCCCGCGGTTTCGCTCCTAGGGCCAGCGCGGCCACAGCCCCTCCTGCCCCGCCACCTGCCTGGGTCTTCCCGAAAGCTCTGCGCGTTCCACCCTCCTGGGCGAGGGTCCTGGCGTCTGAGCGCGTGCGCGCGCCGACTGGTCCCTTGGAAGGCTTCAGAAAAAAAAAAAAAATCACATTCATAAAACGGAAACTCTGGTTCTCGCGGGCAGCTCTCCTGCGTAACTTTGCTGTCTTTTCTTTTTCTTTTTCCGATGCAAACTAAACTATCGAAGTCAGCATTTCGCTAGCTCCGCTACCCTGTCTTTTTTTTTGTACCCCAAGAACCGCGATTACGTTTCCAAAAGCGGTGATCCCGGGTGAGGTGGGCTTCTGAGACCTGCGCAGTCCCGGGCGCCCACAGCCCACCCCCGGGGCATCTCGCGGTGGACAGCGGCGACCCTCCTGCTGTCCCGGCCTCACGTTGACCTTTAGGGTCTGGTTTCAGAGAGTCCTTTAGTTGCCGCCAGAATTTAGACCGAGCGTCCTGGAGAAGACTATGTGCTGGTAGAAGAGGGTCCTCCTGACTTAGAACGCATTTCGCTTTCCCTCAGCTCGCAAGGGGGCTCCTCAAGCTCCCGGCGGGTGACACGGGTCCCTGTCTAGGGGCTGGGGGAACCGGGGGCTGAGCGGGGGTCGTGCCTCCCTCTGGTCCTTCCTGGAGGGAGTGGGAGACCCCGCAGACACCTTACGGGAGGGAGGCTGAGATTGTGGATGTGGTGGCTGCACGTGGGGGCATTTCTTCCCGTGAAATTACCCAGGTTTGCAAATATTGGATATTTAAATTATTTAGGCTCCCTTTCTGCAGAGGCGACTTCTTTAGTTGAGCTTGAAATATCTATTATGTGTCCATCCCGGGCTCAAGTCATAGTTGATAAATTTGAAAATTCGTGTGGGGGAAGTGCGGTCTTGATGACGTTGAGCAGGAATGGGAGCAGGGAGGGAGGGGGTTGGCAGCCAGGCAATTTCTGGAGTTGGCAGTAACCCTGTCTTAAGTTTAAGGAGAGAAATAGGCAGAGGGAAAATTAGGGAGGTGGCAAAAGGGGACTGGAGTCCCAGGTGTCTGGGGTAGGTTCGGAGTGTGAATCATAAATGAAGCTTGAGAGAGGTTTTGAGTTTCCCAACCTGCCTAGTTTCTTTGCAAAGAATTAGCTTCCCACCCCCCATGGGGCACAGGAAAAGCCAAAAAAATGCACCTGCTGTCTCCATTGAAGAACCCAGCGTCCCCGGGAGATGCCACTGCTCACTGCTCCAGACTGGGAGCTGGCCCCCTATACAGATGAGTGCCCTTCAGCCAGGGTGTGTGTGTGTGATGGCTCAGACACGCAGCCCTGCTTGGGAGGTCAGAGGCTGGTGTCTGGGGGAGGCAGCATTCTGACTTCTGCCCCAGGGCTCCACGGCAGGTCGTTTAGAGCCACCGGTAGCAAAGTAACAGAACAGAGGGCCACATTCTTTGATTTGTTGGAAGGACAACAAGACGACTCCACTGATGGTGGTGCTGATGTTCCTTGGGGGACGTACGTGGGGATGGGTTTCTGTGCTCTCTACGCAGTTTTTACCTGTGTGGATTAGTTGACATTCCTGGACTAGAGAAAGCCCAAGGGCACAGGGACCAGAGTTCAGAGAGAAAGAATCCTCCATCCCCCAACCCCCGCTCCTGCCATCCCCTGCTGCACCTGCTAACACACAGAGAACCCTTTTTAACGCTTTGGTGTCGTTCTCACTTTCCCAGGTGAGATACGAACACACGCACACGTGCATCCGTACCTTGCTACCTTTCTCCTTCATTTTGTTCCTGTGGCCAATCCTGTAGGTGACTCTATTACCCTTGCAATCAATATTTTATGTACATATATAATCAGCCGGAGTGGGAGTGAGGGTGCTCGCCTGTGTGTGCCTGTGTACAAACGTGTGTGTGACAGGATCAGCTGGAGACGGGCACACAACACCCGGAGAGCACGGTTGGGGTGGAGAGGTATGTGTGCGTGGGTGTGTGGGTGGGGGGGGGGCTGTCTTAGCACCGTCTGATGACCACTTTGCTGTTGTTAAAGAAACAAAGAACAAACTGTCCTAGAGGTAAAATATGTGGGTTCACACGTAGGAAAAATGCCACATGGCAATTCAGAATCAGTGACCCGGAGAAAAACAAAGGGGGAAATTAATTTTTAATGGTACATTTAAAAATAAATCAGAGTAAGGACATCAGTCTTGGATTTCCGAGGGAGGGGCTCCAGTACAGAAGCCTTGATGTGTCTACCACCCTTGTGGAGGCCAGGGCTGCCTGGGAAGAGGACGGGGCATGGCAGGGGGCCGTGGGGAGGGAGGGGTGCATTCTGAGCTGGGAGGAAACCTCAGGTCAGGTTGGAGGGGCCCAACCTGCGAAGCCCTTTTCCAGCCCAGTGAGATCCTGACATCACTGGAAATTTCCTCTTGGTACTTATTCTTCCCCCAACTCCTTCCGTGTCACAACCAATCTTCTTGTTCACCAATAATTAGGAAATATGGGGAAAAAAGATCTTTTTCCTTAAAAAAAAAAAAACCCACCACCAACAAAGAAGCAACCTGGCCCACTAAACAGGAACCTTTTCATTCTATTGATTTGGAGTAATCAATAAATATTCCATTTAGCCCAAGCGAGGAGGGACAGAGGGGACTTTGGGGGGAAGCACTGGGAGGGAGGTGGCAGTGATGGCTTCCTGTCACATGCTGCCTTCCCCGAGGGTCCCCAAGGCTAGCCCTGTGGGCCTTTATAACGGGTTGTGCAGCTGATTCACCCTCCTGGCCACTCGTCGTGTTGCCCTATGGTCTTTTGGGATTACCAAAACCCCCTGGGGAGGTTTGGCAGCTCCCCTGGCTCACTGCAAGGTGCCTTGTTTCTTTTAAGCAAAGATCTGTGTGACTCCAGCAGGCAAAGGGACAGAGAGAGACACCGTGACGGCGTGTGCCGGGGGCAGGCAACAGGAGAAGAGGATTTGGAAGACAGAAAAACCAAGCAAGATGGGAGTGGGGGCTTCTGACCCGATGCCGCTGCACCCCTCTCTGGAACGGGTCTGCCCAGGTTCTTGAAGTGATTTCTTCAAAATGTAACGTCTTCGTGCTTCCAAATGCAAAAGGAAGAGTCGCGGAAAATGCAAATGATGAAAAGAGGGTGAAAGGAGTTGAAGACTTTTTGTACTAAAATTATTTTTAAGCTCCATTTTCCATGGAGTTCCAAAAAGTTGCCTTTAGAGCACCTGCCGTCCAGGCTGCGAAGCAGAGCCATGCCCTGAGCACCCCTGTTCCAGCGTCCTCCCACAGTCACGGCCGTGGGCGGTGTCTGTCCACCCTCTCCCCAGAAAGACCCTGGAACGCTGCTCCTGACCGGCGGGGAGCTCTGCCCAGGCTTAGCCGGCACCCCCATGCTCCTGTCTAGGCTCCTGGCCAAGTGCTACCGCGGAGGCCCCCAGCTCAGCTGGAGCGCCCACCCTCCCGTGTCTGTGTCCTCCATGGTTGCTGGGGTCAGGTGCATGTGCAGGGTCTGCAGAGTGCTGGGTGAAGCCCTGAAGGGCCTGGGTTGAGAGTAAACCCGCAGCTTCCCCAAGATCTTGCCTGTTTAACCTTGAGGCCTTTTGCTGGCTTCTGTGGCTGAATCCACCAACTTTAGAGCAAGTATGTGCTGGTGGCCCTTGATGGAGACGGTCTCCAGCGACTCTCCCACAGCTCCATCCCAGCAGCCTACACCTCTGGGGAGTGGACTTAGATGTGGCCGTTCTCCGGAGGGTGGCCGCTCAGGGGCTTTGGCCGGCCCTGGTGTGGCCCTGGGTAGCCTGGGGTGGGATTATACCCTGGTGGCCCATCCACTGGTGTGGCCTCGTCCCCGTGCAGGGAGGTTGTGGCGTTTATAATTGCAAATGTAATTAGCAGACCAGCCATGGGGGACTGGGATGCTCAACTTCTCTGCACATCACGGTGACCCCTATGATACTGGCCCAACAGTTTAACCCTCACAGGCCCAGCCTGCTCCTGCTGCTGGGGCGGCCACTGATTGTGGCAGCCCTGTGCTGAGACCCGACTCCTTCCTTGGAGGGCACTGACGGGCCGTGATGGAGAGAGGTTGGTAATGGGGGGTTCCTTCTTCAG